CTGCCGACCCAACGTCCCTTGTGTTCACGCGGCTGCAGCCACCATTGAAGGGTGTCAGTTCTCAAAATGGCCTCTCCACGAACGGCGGTGGCAGTGCCGGCGGCGGCAGCAGCTCCTCCGCCAGTTCCGCCGCCTCCGCCGCCGCCGCCCCCAGATTCCCGCGTCGTCGGCGCCTGGAGTGACCCGACGGACACGTCGCAGGCCACGGAGGCGGCAGCAGCGTCCGCTGCTTGCGCACCCGTACCCGTACCCGTACCCGGCAGGTGCGGCGACGACTCCCCCGGTCCGCTTCCTTCCAATGAGCCTCCCGTGGACGACGGGGACTTCAGGAGAACCGTCGTGGTGGTCACTCCGGCGGTTGAGGCAGAATCGCCGCCGGCGGAGGCGGCGGGCACCCAGTCCAGCGACGGCGGCGACAGCGACGGATGCTGCTGCCACAACCGAGCGTTGACGACTAGCGACCGCGATTGCGGCGGCCCCTCGCTGTCCATTCGTACCCGGACGAAGGGCAACCGACGGTGAGGATCTGCGTCCGTGCGGCGTACGGCAGATGACGGCGGCGGCTCCAACTGCCGCCGCTGCTGCTGCTGCTGCCGACGGTACGATACCTCGTCATGGCGAGCCCGCCGCTCCGTTAGCTCCTGCAGCAACTGAGGGGGGGGCTCCCGAACTCCGTCGTCGTACAGCGACGGCAACAGCCCGGGTTCTAATTCCATGGGCTCACTCCCGGCGCTGCTGGTGTTGTACGTGCTATTCAAGGTTAAGCTTGCATGAGGGGCTCCGGCGCTGGCACCGGGCTGCTGCTGCTGCTGCTGCTGGCTAGAACGGCCGATGCTAGTAACTACATGGCTATAAGCGCGGCTGCTGTTGGCCGGCTGAAACTCAGTAATTTTATTGTCGTACAACGGCTCCGCCGACGACGTCGCCGACGCCGCGGGATAGTCGTTCGTACCGCCAACTCCGTCGTCAACAACGCCGCCGCCACTTCCCTCCGCGGCACATGGCGCGATGCCGCCAGCCAAGGAAGCAGAGGGTGGCGCAAGCGCATCACCACCGACGCTGGCCAGGATGGATCGACGTGTCGAGCGTGTGGAGGGCGTCCTACAGCCCGAGAAGCGCCGCCCCAGCAGCGGCGTCGATGGCCGCGGAGAGGATGTCCCCGGCAGCGGTGCTTCCGCCGCCGCCGCCGCCATCGCCGTCTCCGGACCCCCACCGATGTTGCTACCGCCGCCGCCGCTACTCTCACCGCCGCCGTGGACGCCGGTTAGCAACGCTACCGCAGCGGCGCGCGCCGCCGCCAGGTGCTCCCGAATGGCGGACGAGGACACGATGGAGTTCTCCCGGGAGGGTAGTACGGCAGCGGCGGCGCCGCCGCCGTGCAGATGCAGCAGCATCAGTCCAGGTCCAGGAGAGGACCGACTCCGTAGCGCAGCGCCAAGAAAGGCTCCGGCGCTGCTGCCGCTGGCGGCGGCAGCGGCGGCTGCGCCAGCTCCGCCGGCCGCCACGGTTTCACTGATTCCCGACCGCATCTCGGAGGGGTCTCCAGCAGCGGCAAGCGCAGCGGCGCGGAACCGCGAGGCGCCGGTAAGCCGGCGGCTCCGGTTGCCGCCGCCGGAAGAAGCCCCAGCGGCGGCGGCGCTGATGTTTCCGCCGGCGCCGGCGCCGCCGCCGCTGCCAGCCTGCGGCGACGCTTGATCAAAAAATGCCAGAGCACGTCCCCGCCTTGAAGTCAAACTTGGAGATCCGTTGTGGCTGTGGCTATGGCTACGACTGCGGCTTTGAGTATGGCTGTGTGTATGGCTGTGCGTACGGCTGGAAAGGCTGCCGTACGTGAGCCGAAACTCAGACTGGTTGACCCTCGGCCCGCCGCGATGGCCTGCCGCGCCGTGACCGCCGCCGCCGCCGTCACCTCCGCCGTCCGACGCCTCCTTCTGGCGGCCCGCAGCCGCCTTGTCCAAAAGTAAAGCCACTCGTCGTACGACTGCACGGCGCTGTTGGTACCGCGACGGGGACGAGCGCATCGCCACGAGGTCGGCGGCTGTGGAGCTTCGGGTCGAAAGCGGCAGCGGCGTCAAGACGCCGTACACATTGATGTACGACGGCTGCGACAGCGCCTGAGCGTGGGTATGGCGCGGGGACCGTGTGCAAGTACGTGTGAATGTGTGTTTTGCGGCGGGGGATCGGGGGGTTTTGTATCCCGAGGAGGTGGTGGTGATGGTGGTGGTAGTGGAGGGAGGATGACAAGGAAGAAGTGATACTCGCATATAAGGAGTATCGAATGCTGAGAGGAGCATCAAATCTTTGCCCAACAGTAAAAAAGGACAAGTCCAGCCAAGAGCGCGCTAGCCTCCCCTCCCTTAAACATGTATGTACATACGCACACTTCCACACATCCCTGTGCCCTTCTCCCCCCCAACCCCACCCACCCAAACACACGCGCACCCACCAAAGCCGTATCCCGCGCCATCTCCTGGACTTCCAGATTTTGCCGTCGCCGCCGCCGCCGCCGGAGCGCTGCCACTACCCCCAGCGCGACGACCGCCACCGCCGCCAGCACCGCGGCCGCCGCCGCCACCGCCACCGTTCTGGTCGTGGGGCGGGTGGAGGGCGCATCCTGCAGAGGCCCCCCGCGCGGGGAAACGGTTTCACTTATAAATGTTCATCTGGCTGCAACAGTTCCCTCGTGAACGAGTGGACAAATCGAAACGAAAAACGGGGGTGGGGTGGGGTGGGGAAAACAAGAGCGCCGTAGGAGGTTTCCAAGCCAAGGCAAGAGGTTTATAAAATAAGTTAAAGACCACTTAAAGCCACTAACGCCACACCGCTCCACCCACACACCGCTCAATAGTAACAACAAGAGTTGCTTTGCTGCAGTTGCCCCTGCCTGTGCCCGAGCTGCCTTCCCCCCAACCCCCCACCCCAGCACGGTGTGGGGCCCCCCCCAACCCCCACGCCGCTCTTCACTCTCCCGGTTGCGGTGAGAGACCTGCGAGCCGACCTGGAGCAGTGTGGTGCGGTGCCTCGAGGGCAGTAATGACGCACACCGGCGGTCCAACGAATCGCGTAATAAGTCGATGTATGCTGCTGTATGTTTCACCGAAGACATCTGCCAGAAAGCAGCAGTGCTTGATTATAATCTTGCAGTCTAGCCCACATTTGCCGTTACCGTTACCGTTTGCATTGACAACCCTGACCACCCCCAAGCGGCGGATGAACGAGACCAGTGGGGCGGGAGTTGCCACCGATAATCCGGCAGCAGATTGCACTGAATGAATGCTCCTGGTGGTGGTAGTGGTGGTGGTGGCGGGTCCTGAACCCGAAACGTCACTGACTCCGCACAAGTCGGCGCGGGTGCGTACAACCCCCTACTTCACACAGCCACGCACACAAAACCACCCACTCCATCATATGGACAGACAGACAGATGTTTATATGTATGTATGACTTAAATTACATTGTGGGCCGCGAGAGCCGGGGGCCGAAGCCGAAACACAGCGCAAGGGTCGGTATGTATGTATGCATGTATGTGCCCCAGTCCCTCCTACCCCCGCTCCAAAACCCGTTCGCATGCTCCCCCCCTTCCGCAAACGCTTTCTACCCACCCCCGCTACTCACACACACACACCCTATTGTACTACTTCCATGCTTCCATATCCCACCCCCCCATACCTCCACTCTGCTCCCCAAGGCCCACCACTTCAACCCCCTGGCAGCTGCGAACCCCCCTCCCCCCTTCTATTGTCTGTTTCTTCTATGGCCCTTCCATCATTCATTCACTTGTCCGTGCTCCCATCCGAGTTGTCTACGCGGTGCTTCTTCTCTACGCGCGCACCCTCACTCGGCTTTTACGTCGGCCACACCACTCTTGACCTCTCTCAACGTATCCGCCACCATCTTGTAGACACAGCTCCCCATTTCTCCCACACAAGCTCCACCCGCATCGTATCGCGCGCTTGTCACTTTCAGCATTCTCCACTTCCCCAACCCACCTCCCGCTCCTCCCCCCAACCCCCACGCCCTCCCCCTCGTTCCTTCCCCACATCTGAGGCACTACGGGGCCGCATACGGGGCCGCATACGGGGCCGCATACGGGGCCGCATACGGGGCCGCATGCACATGCTCCTAGTGCGCGCGGATTGGCAGGAGCCACGTGTGGCCCCGGCAAGCGCACACACACACACACGCGCTTCTCTTCCTACCAACTGCCTCTCCTCCCTTTGGCCTTTCTTTTTGCGTTCTTTCCAACCCAGTTCTCCATTTCTGGAGAACTTCTTTGCGTTCCTGCCGGCGTACACGTCGTCCATTACGTCATCACGTTGTCCATTCCGTCATGTCGTAGGACGTCTTGTGCAGTCGTCCTGCGCCGCCTTTGCATTACTGTTTCCTTTTTAGTCCCTGCGTTTTCTTCCGCTTCCACAGAGGTTCATTAGGGCTTCTTATTCCCTATTTCGCCGGTCAGCCAGCTTAATACTCCCTTCCAGCGGCATTCGCACATGCGTTCTTGTCTTTATCGTTCGCTGCTCACAATCTTGCTACCCTTCTGCCTCGCATGTGCCCTTGCCGCTACTTCTGCTGCCTGGCCAGGTGAAATCGAGGAGGCTCGAGCTTTGTCGGTTTATCGCGTTGCGTCGGTCGGCTAGCCGGACTAGGATGGTTGGGTCGGTCTGGTCGGTTGCGTTTTGGGGGGTTTGGGAGAAGCACTTGCCTACCGACAGCTTCTTATTACCAGCTAATCAGCCAGTTTTGCTCCAGCCTCTTCAATGCCGCCGCCAGGCCGGCGGCAAACTCTATTCCAGCTCACGTCACCCCTTTCTCTTCTCACGTCAGTTTTTATTACTCTTTCACCGCCTTTACACCCACCTTTGCTATTTTACGGCTTGGCTCTACTGCTCCTCTTCCGCTCTTATTTTAGTATTGGCGGCTAGGTAGGTAGGTTTCCGCTGTCGTCATGACTACTAACATCATCGCGAGGACTGCTTCTTCACAACCGCCGACTGGTCAGTTCTGCTTTTTGTACACCTGCTGCAGCAGTCATTCCATTGCATCAGCTTCACCCGCTCGTGGTTCGTCTTTTCCCGCCCTCCCCCTTCCAACCCCTCCCGTCACCTCACCCGTTGATTACTCGTATTCCTCACCGAGATGGGTACTGGCAGGACATTACAGCCGGCAGCACCGACCAGACCGCCACTGCTGCCGCCAGCACCAACGCCAGCCAGCGACATCCGGCGAGATTCGGAACCAGATCCGGAACCAGATCCGGAGCCGTTACAGGCCCCAGTGTACAGCTGCTTGCCCTGCTCGCTGAGGGGCACTTTGTACGTGGCTCGGACCTGGCGGGCAGCAGGGGTAGGAAGAGAGGGAGGAGGGGTAGGAAGAGAGGGAGGAGGGGTAGGAAGAGAGGGAGGAGGGACATATATAATTAACACAATGACAACACACAGACACAAGGTCTTATGTCCGCGGCTCAGTTTCAATATACACATACACATACATATAATACATATACACACACATTCACACACGCGCGCACACACTCACACACTCACATACATACATACATACACCGGGGTGGGGCCCCTCTCACACCTGTGTCGAAACAACCAGCTCCTCAGGCGATGGCAGGCACACCTCCACGGCCGTTGATTTGGCAGCCACTGCCACGAGACTGTCGTACACTTCCTCCCGCAGCGACGTCCCTGGAGCCAACTCACTGGAATTGGGTACGGACGCCACCATGGAAACACTTCGCGCCGCTGCCGTGGCCGCCACCGCTGCCGCCGCCACAACCGCCCCATCTGCCGCCGCCGCTGCCGCCGCCAGCTCTGCGATGGCGTTGCAAGAACTGGTGGCGAAGTAGACCCCGGTGGATGACTCCTCCGGTATCGTTGAGCCCTCCGCGCCGCCGCCGCCGCCGCCGCTGGCTACTGCCGCCGCCTGCAGCTCCCGGCCGGCATCATGGGGGCCCGCCGCCGCCGCCGCCGCCGCCAATGCCGCATCAGCTTCCGCTGCCCTCTCGATATGGACACCGCTGGAATCCGCCGATGCCGTCGCAAGCAAGCGACGGCTCATCGCGCCGCCGTTGACGGCAGCGGTGGCGGCGTCGCCGCTGCTGTTGCTGATGCACGACACGTTGACCTGCGAGGCTGTGAGGCCCAATCTGGAGCCCAGGTCGGCGGCGATGGCGGCAGTCAGACCAGCATCGCACTGCGCGACACAGGTAGACGGGGTGGGATGAGGGGGCGGGGGCGGGGGGCTTACATGATGCAAGGAAACAAGGAATGAACTGCCGGCGTACAAAGCGTGGGTGGGTGGGTGGATAGGTGGGGGTGGGGGTGGGCATTATGCAGGGAAGTGCGGAAGAATTATCAGCAAGTGCCGGTACCGGTAATCCCCGTCCCCCCCTCTTTCCCCCCTTCTTTCCCCCTGCCAACCCCCCCCGGGGCCGTCTCGGTCTGTTTGCCGAAAAGCCCCCTCGCCTGATTTGTCGAATTCAGTTTGTTACCTGTTTACCTATCTGTCTGTCTGTCTAACTGTCTGTTTGGTAAACTGTCCGTCTGCTTGTTTGTTTATTTGTTCGTCTGTCTATTCGTTTGTTTAATCGCGCTCCTCAGACCTGAGGAGACCTGACGGACTGACTGCTGCCGTGCAGCCCGGCGGCTGACGTGCTTGGACAGGTGCGCCTGATTATTGTGCAGAGTTACTCTATTCCAATTACCACACGCACATACATACATACATACATACATGCATACAAACACGAATACACAAGCGGGTATAGTGTTCCTTTCCTAGAGATACTTCCTGATCCCCCTTCCGCACCTCAATCCCCCTTTCTGTCCCTACTCCTTTCACTCCCCTCCCTTCTCACCACCACGCCAGACGCAGGCACCGAAGAAGGCGTCTTGCTGACCAGCTGCAGCGGCGCCGTCACGTCCCAGCCCAACACCTGTACGTCAACCGCTGTCGGGAACACCGCCGCCAGAGCCGCCGCGTCGACTTTGGCCGGGGCGTCGGCAGACAGCACAAGGTCGTAGTCGCGCGTGACGGACAAAAACGCGGATGGATTAGACTCGTTCACGAGAGCTAAGGAAATGCCAAGGAGTTCGTACAGCGGCGGCGCTGGCGGTGGCGGCGGAGGGGGCGGAGGCCGCGGCGAGGGTGGAGGCTTCGGCGGCTTCGGCGGTGATGCCGACGGCAGTAGAGGAGGCGGGCGCTGCGGGGCCAGCGACAGCGGTGACGATGATGGCAGGACTAGGATTGGCGGAGGGTACGGCCGCGGTGTTGGCGGAGACGCGGGGTCCAGAAAGGGGGGTGCAGGAGGTGGAGGTGGAACCACTGGTGGTAACAGTAGTGATGGCGATGTGGCGGACGGCGGCGGGAGCAGCGGTGGCTGCAGTGGGGTTGGTGGGTTAGCGGGGAGCATGGGAGCGGGTGGCGGAGCTCCCATTGCAGGGGTAAACGGCGGTGGGAGGGTTGTTAACGGCGACGGCGTTGGCGAGGGAGATGGCAGCCCTGGAGCAGGCGCTGCCGGCGGCGATGGCAACGTTGGTGACGGTGGGGTAGATGGCGGCGTGGGTGATGGCAGTGTTGGTGATGACGGCGTCGGCGACGGCGGCGTTAGTGATGGCGGCGCCGGTGATGGCTGCGTCGGCGTCTGCGGCGTTGGTGATGACGGCGTCGGCGACGGCGGCGTTAGTGATAGCGGCGCCGGTGATGGCTGGGTCGGCGTCTGCGGCGTTGGTGATGGCGGCGTCGGCGTCGGCGGCGTAGATGGCATCGGCGATGACGGCCTTAACGGCGTCGGCATCGGCGTTGAAAATGGCGTTCGCGAGGGTGGTGTAAGCGGCGCCGGCGTTGGCGACGTCGGCAGCATTGACAACGGCGGCGGTGGCATAGACGGCGGTGTGTGTACAGATGGCAGAGGGGACGAGGGCGGGCTAAGGGCCGAACTGAAATCAGCAGGGTTAGGGTTAGGCGGTGTGCGTTCTGGGGGCCTTGTGGGATACAGGGGAGACCGAGGCGGCGGCGATGGGCACGGAAACGCCGGCGGCGCCGCTTGCGTTGGTTCAACTGGCGGCGGCAGATCAAGGGGCGCTGGCGGCGGCGGTTGAGGCGGCGGCGATGGGCCTGGCGGTGGTTGAACAAGTGGTTGAGGCGGCGGCGGCGGTGAAAGCCTTGGTTGCGGTGGTGGTGATAGGTTAGACCGCGGCGGCAAAGAGTTTGGTGGCGGCGGTACTGGTGGCCGGGCCGGCAGCGGTGAGCGTGGCGGCGGTGACAGCTCAGGCTGCTGCTGCGGCGGCGGTGAGCGTGATACCGGTCGTGAGGTTCCCAGCGGCGGTTTCGGAGGCGCCGATTCCGTGTACGCCGGTCTGGGCTGAGGACTGGGTGGCGGCATCGGCCAAGGCGATGGAGGCGGCGATGGTACGGCAGATGCCCCGTACGGCAAGTATCCAACCAGCGCCACGGCGTCAACCACCGCCCAACGGTCCACGCCCAGCTGCACCTCCCGTACAAGGCTGTTTGCCGTGTGCACGGATAACGGCGATAACAACGATGCCGTACCATTGTCGTTACTCGTCCTGGACGACGGCATTGCAGCGGCGGCGTCGCCGCTGCTGCTCAGACGGTCCGCATCGGAGCTGCCGTCAGGCAAGGGCGGCGCGGCATCACTGTCGTAGATCGCCTGACCTGACGGCATGCTGTCGTAATGATTTACACCGTCGGAGGGCGCCAGCAGATTGCAGACGTATGTGTACGTGGATTCGGCGGCGCTAAGGCCGCGGCACCTGGGCGCGTCGTCTGGAGGGCAATCCACCTGCGATGTTGCGGCGGCTCAGGAGCTTGTGAGCGGCCCCTTGAACGCCCCCCTAACTCCTCCTCAACACCTTAAACTACGGCCAAAATTGCCATTATGCAGACCTCCAATGCCTTCCCCTTACACATATGTTGAATTACTATATATTTACTATATATTTACTAAATATTTACAATATATTTCCTAAAAATTTCCTAAAAATTTCCTATATATTTTACTATATATTTACTATATACTTATTATATAATGTAATGGTGTTCGATTCTAGGTCAGCATCCTAATGTGTGCAATCGGCCCAGAAGCCACCCACTCTGTAACAATCGACACAAAAAATATGTTGCATTAGTTGGGTGAGCCCCCTGGACATTCCTAGCAACCCAAGTCGTCCCTGACACTGGGACACCAGAAGACTCCCGCCACCCTCAGGGCCCGTGACATATATGAGGGAAAATTCTGCCTGATGTACAGTGCCGTACCTTGCGGGATTGACCAGATGCCAGCCGTACCGCCACCTCTGACACGGCACTTCCACGGCTGCTCGCGACGGCGACCTCCACCTGCGGCATTGCGGGACATGCAGCAGGCATGTAAACATGTAAGCGCGCGGTTGTTAAGACCAGCAAAGCGCCGGAACCCCGTTAGGTCCTATTACTGTGGTTACCATTCACTGGTATATGAGTGTCGGTCATTTCCAACACTGGTATCGAGACCGTGTAAAACAGCTTCTTACAGAACATTTGGGAAAAGTGCGTGGCCGATGTGTGGCTTTGGATAGGTAGCTTGGAACGCCTGAAGTCGACCCCAGTAGCTGGGGTACGCGCGTTTCAGGCTGCATTGAATGCAAAGACGACCTGGAGTTTGTCCGGCCGCGACATTCAGAACTTCTGGGCACGTGCAAAAGCCCTCCAGGACGGACACACACACACGCGCGCGCGTGCACGCGTACATGGACGCAGTGCCAGCTCCACTCGGTTGGTAGGTTTGTGCAACATGCCACGAAGGGGCAACGAAGGCAGGAGCGCGGTGGCCCTGAAGAGCTCAGGTAAAGTGTTCAGTTAACTCAAATCCTTCAACGGAAAGTGACTTGTCAACCGGTTAACCCTAGGTAATCAGAGCAGGGTATCGGGAGCGGAGCGGAAACTGTTATCGGTACTACAAATTACAGAAATATCAGCGTCGGGGCCTGTCTTCGTTTCGAAAACATCATTCGCACCCGCTTTTTGGCAACCTACGTATCACAATGTAGCCTTTTTACAAAGTGCGCGTCGGTTCGCAGCTTATTGGTACATCGCGTTTCGCTCATTCGACACAGCATGTGAAGATGTCAGCGATTCGACAAAGGATTTTCGCCAAGCAAATTGAATTTCTCTGATCTGCAATCCACACACGTATATCAACTTCTGAGACGCACCGCACCCTCCTCTTTCACTTTCCAAAAGAAACGCAAGCGCGCGTGTTTCGAAATCTTTTAACTGCTCGTTCCTGGGCATGCCTTTGGACGTAATTTGTGAACTGCTATGACTTTGTGCGCTTGGCTAATGTAACGCTTCAGGTTACCCGTCCGCAAAGTTTATCTGTCAGACATAATTGACAACATTTGGGACGATACACCTTTACCAGTTCACGTCCTGAATCTCCATCGCTGCATTAGATATGGGCGTCACTTTCAAAGTCTATTGAAGACTCCTTTCTTCGGTAAAGATTGGATCGGTTTCGCAAGCACAAACACGTATCCGTACTTACTTCCCAGTCGTTCCATTCAAACGTGGCGAATATACTCACACACTTTGCCACCCACACCGGATCTGATCTGGGTCCGTTTGTATTTTGCCGGCACCTTTTAAACCATATCTCAATCTACCCCCCCTTTATCATCCCGTCCGTCAATCGCGAGCCACCATCCGCCCCTCCCCATCCGAACTGAACCCAAATCGCATCCCACTGACCTGTACTGCATACAGCGCTGAGCTGAAGGTCACGGCAAGCGTAGTCTGTGCCGGGCTGTTGCTGTCGATATCACCGCTTGCAAGGGACCAGAGGGCCGTTTGGTCTGCTCTCGTGCTCGGAGGCCCAGACAAGCATCGGCCAGTATAGGTTGGCGCCCCGAGCAAGGCGCTGTAGTTGGCTGCAGCCAAGTCGCGAGGCTTAGGTGCTGCTGACGCCGACGCTGCGTACAATCTGACCTGCCCCTGCCCGCAGTCAGCAAGCCCCCGGGGGCAGGTATCCAACAGGGCGCTGCCGGAAACTGGTTGCAGAGGCGGTGGGCTCTGGGACAACGTGACTGTTGCTATTGCTGAATCGTTTAGAGACAGCAACATAATCATGCTGAACAAGATGGACTGCAGCGCAAGCCATAATCGCTGCCGGTGTGCAGGAACCGGAGTCTGCCATGACAGAGGGGACTGGCAACCAAGCGGGACTAGGGTAAACCGATGCGGAGGTGACACCCGATAGTGGTCCCGCCACACCTGTGCGCCCATACGATGCCCGGAACATGCGCTGAAGCATGAAGTGCTGACACAATGACTCCAGAGTCAAAATCTGAAATGGACGCAAGCGACAAGCGAAGAAAAAAACACGAGTCCCGATGTAAATTCTAATTGCATATTAACGTCGCCGGAGAAGCAAGGTCACGTTCGAACCAGCAGAAGAATGCATAAGCAAGTACCGGCGAAAGGAGCTTGACTGAAGCAGCTCAACCTTTTGCTTTCTACAAATAATATCGTGGTGCGAAAGAATCCATGGAGCTCCAACTTTGTGGCACCGTGAGACGGCTATACATATGTCGTCCCATCCCCCGAAAGCAAGAGAAACGTTAGAGTTTAAGCCAATGACCTTCGGAAGGTTCCACTACCGTATCACTGATAGACATCGCTGTGCTGCAAGACTGCCGACCGTACCATCGTATCGCCTTACGACACTGCCGTTGACACGTCTTGCACCCCCATTGGCCATGAAAGCCCGTGTTTGGCTTCCGATGTGAAACTGTTTCCTACAGAAAAGCACTTAAGATGTCTCACCAGCTTTTGTTCCCTGGAGCTACCTTCCACGGAGCGCCTGATAGCCGGATTGCGCAATATGATTATGACGCTGTCAGCCTCCTCATGTGGCGCAAGGTATCATAACTGTTGCATAATCTACTACTGTCATCACTTCAGCAGGTGCTATGCATAAGATTCGGCACATAGACCGTTCGCCTCCCATGACAAGGAGCTTAAGGAGGAGCTTGACGTCATGGAGTTTGTTGCTAAGCGTACGACACTAATTATATCCCCGGACAGTTAACGCTTCATGTCCTCTTTCACATCTAAGGCACAGCCGCCGCAGCCTGCCAAACATCCTCCCAGCGGGAACACCGGGTCTAGATCAACGTGACCGATTGGTGCACTTCGGTTATCTTCTTGCACAGACGCGAATCCACTCCCCGCCAGCTTGATTTCCTCGGCCGAGTTGGTGTTGGCGTAGCTGCCAGGCTTGCTTGACCTTCGAGCTTTCCTACACAGCAGGGAGAAATTGTTGCGGCTTCAGCTCTATGGTCGAGGGAAACAGCTCCATGGTTCAAGTAGCAGTGTGCATGACGTCGGATGCCAACGCTATCCCCCAAATGCCGGCCGCTTAAAGGAGGGGGCAGTGCAGGATGTCGGGGGATCGCTCGAGGGATCGCACCGTAAAGTAGACCCTGACTGGATGCGAGTCCTTGTACGCCGTAACACGCGTGCACCGTCCCTAGTATCTCTGAGCCTTCCTGGGTGAAAGTCAGAAGCAGTCGCATTTGCTAGTGGTTACAGGTTACAAGCTCCGCACAAGTGTGGGAACGTTTGTAAAATCACGGAGACGGGTTGTCGCCATGGACGGGCTGTCGCTGGTATACCCGCCCAGCCAGGAGCCAGGAGCCGTTTCGAACGCGTCCTTACTTCAGAGAAGAGCGCCGAAAGCTAATCGTTGACTGAAACTAATGCAGAACGGCAAGAAGTACTTCCGGCTGCATGAGAGGCCTAGGTGGTCTGGGTGTGTAAGAGAAACATCTTGGGCTTGGAAGGGGGCTCTTAGCTCCTTCAGCATTGTGCGTGCGTGGGCCTCGGGGAAGGGGGTAACGCGATGCTGCGGGTCAGTGCGCGATGCTGCGGGTCAGTGCGTGATGCTGCGGGTCAGTGCGTGATGCTGCGGGTCAGTGCGCGATGCTGCAGGTCAGTGCGCGATGCTGCGGGTCAGTGCGCGATGCTGCAGGTCAGTGCGTGATGCTGCGGGTCAGTGTGTGATGCTGCGGGTCAATCGGAAATAGGGGGCTTAGCCAGCAGGCATTGCCGTCTTCTGCTGCGCCTCAATGTCAGCCGTGCCCGCTGTGTAGGCAGGGCTTGTGTCAGGTCCATCTTGCCAAGGACTTTGGCTTGTAAACGACTTCGGCACTGTGTTACCCTGAAACCTGCCCTCCTGGGCACTATGTAGGGCGCTACGTAAGACACTCCCTATGGAACACAAATGCTCGGTATAGCGATGTCGTACCTATTCGCGATGTGTATGTAAGGAAGGAACATGCTGATGCTCCCTCCAAGTACGCACAGGTCCCTCCCTCAGGCAAAACCCAAAAGCAAAAAGCAGCCCATAGAGTCGTCTTTTGCCAAGGGAGCCACCAGATACCCAATCAGGGTACAACATCCTGCTTTGCTATGTTCCGTTACTCTGTCCTGGTACTTCCCCTTACACTTAGAAGCTCGCCATAGTTGTGTAAGGCGCGGGCCAACTAATGTCAGGCTTGGTCTCTTGGTCTAGGCTTTATATTATTTGGTCTGGGCTTGGTGACGCTTGGCCAGATGAGACCAGCTGTGATGTTTACGGTGCTGCGGGGTGAAGCCGAGGATGTGGTGTAGGTTGGCCTGCGAAACGCTGACAAGGGGACGTACAGAAGGCTATAAATACTGTAAGGCGAACCTATCTTTAGGGAAGTCCCGTAAGGGGACACCGTGCGCATCCATCCTTGAACCTTACAGGCGCCCGCTCAGATGATCTTCACCCTAAAACGACTTAGAGTTTTAATGGCCTAACTCTCTTACTGTGATATGCCCGATCATGGAGGAATCTCTCCCGTATACGTATGTACGTTTCTTACTAATTTGAAGCAAGAGCGCACTTCAAATCATCATGGGAATACACGCTGGGAAGTATGTGTAATTCTAGGGTGTGAGCTTATGCATCTTAGGAGGTCCATGCATAAGTTGAAGCTTATTTACATTGTTTACAGTTGTCCTTCGCGGCTTGAGCAGTCCAATCTATTCCATTTTAACTTACAGTATTTGTTTTTATATCTCTAAGGACGGGCGCTCGTGGACTATGCTCTACTGCGGCTGAAGATGATTGCAAAATCGCTAATCCGCAAGTCTGAGGTGCACCAACCGTTATAGTCATCAAGCAATATCATAGCGTGTCTTTTGCGATGGCGAATTCTTCGCAGCTTTTGGTACGTCCACCGCCACCGTGGCCTCCTCCTCCGCAACAACCCCTGGCGCTCTCGGATCAGCGCTACCTGGTATCGGACAACCAGGTGGTCGTATCGTGAGTTCATTTTCTTCTGTTGAGCAACACAGTTCCCCCGGCAAAGGACATCCTGTTCACGTCTGCCTGCGGCCTATCATCCTTGCATGCTTGTGTCTGTGAGATAGAAAGATGGGCACGGTAGAAATTTGAAATGAAATAAGCACACACTGTGTATCTCTCGCGCCTCTTTCCCTGTTGCCTCTGTCTCTTGCGGGGGTTTTGTCTCCCGCCCCTCGCCGTACAGAGTATATATCAACGTGCTCTGGGGGGCTTTATGCATCTTTGGATTTGTCGTACTCCGAGGCTGGGTCCGAGGCCCAGGCGGCGTCTTCCAGCGTCGGCAGGTAGGTAGACCTTTGTGACGTCCCCAGCTGTCCCCAATGGGAAACGGAGTTGCACAGATTGGGAAATCTCCCGAAGCGCCCAGACGCCTTCAACTTTTCCAGATAAGACTAAGGATTAAGCTGAAGGCAATGCAAAGAGATAGCTCGGATAAGGAAACCAGGCAGAACGCGGACGAACGGATTTGAACATTGCATGCCGTACATTAAGACGCTAGAATGTACGGTAGTGCTAGCGTGAATATTGCTCGTTCCCCACTTGGTATCGTCCGGGGCGTACCCTTTCCAATCTCCACCAAAGTGATTGTACGTGCGTTGTTTAGCTACCCAGCTATTGTAACCTCACCGCCATCCACGGCTCCGCTATCGCACCCTGGATAGCGCTTCTTGTGCCGTGTTTTACCTTTCCGGTACCCCGCCCATCTGGTCTTGTGGGTCCGTTTGCCTCACGATGCAGCGTGCTGGGGGTTCTGTACTTCTTGTCCTCTGATTCGGTCCCCGCTTCCTTCCTCCGCCTCCTCTGCCTCCGCCATCGTTGCCCCGTCTCTTGTCGCCCGAATTGGATGGCTGGAATGGCATGCGTGTGCCTGCGGGATGGTGTGAAGTCTCTCTCCCTGTCTCCTCACTCTCTCCCTGTCCCCTCACTCTCTCTCACCCCTCACGCACACACTCTCTCCCCCCACTTTCTCCCCCAGGAGCTTCAGGACTTGTTCATGCGGCCTCCTCGTCTGGTACTGGGCACCATTCATCAGGTTTGGTGAGTGTGCCGTTGTGGGGGTGGTTGTGGTTGTGGTAGTAGTAGCAGTGGTAGTGGTGGTTGTGGTAGCGGTAGTAGTGGTGGTGGTAGTAGTGGTATAGTAGTAGTAGAGTAGTGGTATGTGACCTGCATTTCCCTTTCCTCGCAACTGCATACACACTCATGTGGTGGTACATGATAGGTAATCTCTGTGTTTTCCTTCCTTCCCCCCCCTCCTAAGCACACAGACTTGTGATGTGATGTGATGATTGTGATGATGCACCTGGTGCTTTCGTGATCTGCAGGAACTGGTTGATGCCCCTGTTGGCGGTGTCGGATGCGGACATCGTGCGATGTAGCGGCTTCGACGCACTGGTGCTCACCAGGGTGCTGCTCATAGGGCTGCAGATGTTCACTGTCATGACGGTATTCGGAATTGCCGTACGTAAGTCACCGTACATTGCCGTACCACATCATATGACAACGTACCCTTTGGGTTATTTACACATAATAGAGCCGAGCCGCGTGTGAATTGCACGCTATCAGCACATCACAATAGTGTTACAAGTGCCGCACGAGTGGGGTGGGTGGGTCCGTCAAAGCCCGGGGGCCGCATGGACTATATTTATTGAAAGTTGATTCCACCGTACAACCGACGGCGGTTTGGGTCCTGCCATCTTGACCCCTCCTCATCCAGTCACCCGACATCCGTAGAGACAGGTCAGCCATCACCACCATCTCAGAATGCGAAACTTAGTCCATCAACTAGACGTCAACTCCATACCTTCGCTGCTATTTGTAATTCTCCTTATTCCCCGGATTAATGGGGGTCTGCCCTGGAATCGAACCCAGGATCTTACTGAGCTAAGTAATGCAGTGGAGTTACCAGACCAGACCGGACCGTACACATTTGCAGTGCAGTTTTATATACATACATACATTCATACATACATACACAGGCGCTGATCATTTTCTCATATGCACCCACCCATTTTAACCGAACCCCAAAAGTACCCAAAAGAAATAAAGCCCGACGTGACGGCCGATGTGGGGAAGGGTGGTAGGTAGATCGTGCCGCCGGTTTTCGTTCGAAGGCAAAAGCACCCCCTGAGCGTAGAGGGTTTGCCCTCCACCTAATTAATACCCTCTAGCTCCATAATCTCTGTCTTGGTATGTCTGTATGTCTGGCGGACTTCCGCCCTTTCCTCCTTACCTTTTCTTTATTCACGTTTTCCTTGCCTTTGGCTTGACTCACCGTATCCTCCATTATCATCATCTTCGTCCTCCCCCTCCGTGTTGTTGTCTTCTGCTTCCTTCGCCAGTTCCCACTCCTTGTATCCCCTTGCCCGCTTCTCCTCCTCCTCGCCTTCATCATCACCATCATCATCACTGCCGTCATCATCATCACCATCATCATCACTGCCGTCATCATCATCACTGCCGTCATCACCACCATCATCATCATCATCATCATCACCACCATCATCATCATCATCATCATCATCATCATCGTCATCATCATCATCATCATCATCATCGTCATCATCATCATCATCATCATCATCATCATCATCATCGTCATCATCATCATCATCATCATCATCATCATCATCATCATCATCATCATCATCATCATCATCATCGTCATCATCGTCATCATCATCATCATCATCATCATCATCATCATCATCATCATCATCATCATCATCATCATCATCATCATCATCATCATCATCATCATCATCATCGTCATCATCGTCATCATCATCATCGTCGCTAACATCGACATCATGGCTCTCCCCTGACCATCGACTTCAGTCATCCCGGTCTACTACACGCGAGGCGGGATCGCGCACTCAACCGCCAATTTGGGCACCTTGGCACAGCTGTCCTTGGCCAACGTACCCACCGGCAGCAGGTTATTTATACTGCCTTTCTTCATGACCTACATTTTCATTGGGTAAGGATCCTGTACGGGATCGTACGGAACTGGGCTGTATGAGGGCCGCTATTTGACTGGACGGAAGTGTCATGCTTTGCGACAGCAGCTTTGTCAGACCTGGTGTTGTTAGTTTGTATTTAGTTTGTATTCTTCGGGGGAAGATCTGGGGGAGTCGTGCACGTGTGTATGTGTGTATGTAGACCTGTTTGAGGACCGAGGACCGAGATGAAAACACGTTGGTCGTTCACGAATGTCAGTGGGGGCGTTCATTCGGGATATGGCGGATAGTGACGGATGTGTTCCTTTCCGACACGCGTGCTTGCACAGAGGTGCGTCACTCCCCTTGCCGTACCTCCCATGTTAACTGCCGTACTGCCCAGGTACGGCTGCTGGGTACTGCTCATCAACTGCAGATGTTACGCGCAACTCCGAATGGCATACTTCACCTGCCTCGACGCTCTGCCGCACGACAAGGAGCTGCAGCCCGAAATGGCGGGTTCGGTAGTGCCGAAACCTGGCGCTACAGCTGCTGACGCGAGCACCAGGTCAGCTGCTGGATCTGTCGCTGCTCCTGCGAGTTTCGCTGTCGGCAACAGGACAGGCAGAAGAGACATGAAAAGTAGAAACAAGGCGACCCTGGAGCTTTCGACAAGGACAGGTGCTGCCGACGGGCAGCACCGGCGGCGGCGGGACGCCGAGTCTTCGGCGGCGGCGGCGGCGGCGGAAGCAGCAGCGACGGCAGCAGCTTGTTATCAGCCAGCCGAGGGCGCGACGGAGGCAGCGTCGGAGCAGGCGGCACCTGTGTCAGCGGCGGCGGCTGCTGCTGCTGCAGCGGTTGTGGCGCCGTCGGTGGTGGCTGTTAGGAAGGTGTTGGAAAGGGGGGAGGCCGATGGACCGGGCTGTGGAGCGGGGGAAGTTGATGTCGCCAGTGGGCCTGGCTTTGATCTGGACCACGGTGCTGACGGAGGCAGCGGCGACACAGCGGCAGCGGCAGCGGCGGCCGGCGGCGGCGGCGGCGACGCCACCATCACGATCATGATGCCTAGGATGTCGCTGCGCAGCACATGGTAAGATACGACACAGGTCGCCGTACGGTTTTGCGCTCTATACGGCATGGTACGGCTTTTCCCTGGCTGCAGTACCTGATCCCGAGTATCGGTATGCCGGTCCGTCGCCTTGCCGTTCGTGGCTAACTATGTGGAGTGGGTGCATGTGCGCCCACCACCTCTGCTCTGAGACTTGGCCGGGATGTCGTGGCATGGTGACAATTTGATAGTGTATGTACGGCATATGTACGGCATCTTCAGGTGCGTCCTTGCGCTTTTCTTGTCCCCCATGGCTCGCCAAGTACCTTGTTCCTCTTTTACTTTTCTCTTCAGTTTCCCTTCCTGTTTCTCCCTTTCTTTTTCCCTTTCCCTTTCCCTTTCCCTTTCCCTTTCCCTTTCCTCTCTATTTCCTTTACATTCCTGCTTGGCGTTCTTCCTCACTCTTCCGCTCTCCCTTCCCGTTCGTCCTCCTTCAGGCTGAACATTGCGAACTTCTTCAACCCCTCGCTTCGCATGATGCTCGACTACTTGGACTGGCAGAATCCCCTGCAGCGAACAGCCGCGCGCTTCGGCGTCCGTGACCTTGTACTGCCGACGGTGGCCGACGACGAAGCGCCGCTTCCCGTACGGTTGTACGGCAAGAAGGAGCGAATGATAACGTACGACGATCTAGTCCGGGGGCCGCATCTACGACGGTCTGAGGCGGCCGCCGCACCCGCCGTCGCCACCATTGACGTGCCGAACGAGAGTGGTGCGCAGGAGTACGACAGTGGCAGCGGCGTTAGCGGCGGCGGTGGCAACGGGAAGGGCGTGAGTCAGAGCGAAGCGACAGTGCTGAAGAAAATGAGCGAGGAGCTTGAGCTAACCGGCGGCGCCGTCGTACTGCCGTACTGGCGTCCGCGGGAGGCGCTTCGCTTAGCTCGTGAGGAGTTGGGGGGATTGCGGAAGACGGCGGCTGAGGACGACGGCGGCGGCGGTGGTAGGGACACGGCCACCGCGCCGCAGCTGGGGGCTTGGGGTCCCGGCGCATGCGCTGCACGTTCACGCAAGAGTACGGCAGCGGCGGCTGCGGCGGTAGAGGACGTATGTGACGCTGCCGATAAGAGCGGCAATTGGGACGGCAACGGCGGCAGCGAGCCAATAACTACCGCCGCCGCCACGGCAAATACTTTTGCGCCGTACGTGCGGTACGGCCTCCGCCACCGCAACGTTATGAAAACGGGGAATGGCGAGGAGTCCGCTGTGACGGCGGGCGTTGCGCATCAGTTGTACGGCATGACCGACCCACTGCAGCCGCTACTGCCTGGCAAGAGAAACGTCCGTTTGTTACAGCTGCTCCAGGTGCAGTTGCGTCAAGTGCCTGGCGGCGACGGTCGTGGTCATGGCGTTGGCGGTGGCGGCGACGGCGGCGGCGACGGCAGCGCCCGCGGTGGAAGCAGCACGGCGTATCTCCGCTGTACGACAATGCGGCGGCCTGCCGGACGCGATGGTTTCTCCGATCCCGTAACCTCCGCCGACGGCGACAATGACGGTGACCAGGAAGGCACTCACACACGTCTGGTGAACGCCAGCCATTATGTCGTACTAATCAAGCGCGTGCATCTCAAGCGCGGCCCGAGCTTAATCGACAGGCTGGCTGCGTTTACGTACATCATCGTTAGTCGTGTACGAACGGCCGCCATTTGGGCTGTCGAGAGCGCCGCCAGGCAGTACGCCGCCACCGCGGCCCCTTCCGCTGCGCCGGTACAGCAGCTGTTAGAAAGTGGACATAATGCTCTCGCCGCCGCTGACGTTGTCGCCACCGATATCACCCCCGACACGATCGCTGCCGCGGCAGCCGGCGGCTCAGGATCCGCGGCTGCCTGTATGGACCGATCAGAGTCAAACAACAGTATCTGTACCGCAACCATGGCGCAGCTCGGTGCGGTTGATGTGGAGGCGCAGGCGGTGGCGGTCGCGGCGGCGGCGGCGGCGCCGCCATTGCGCGGCGTAGCTAAAATCGCACACGACGTACGGCGATACTATGAAATGTTTGAAGATCCGGGCAATCGCCTGTACGATCCGTTGAAGGCCGTGCATGCAACTGATGCGAGAGGTAAGGCAGCTAAGGCTGGCCGCCGACCCGCGGTGGGGGCTGCCGCCGCCGCCGCGGCCGGTAGCGGTGGCGGTGGCGGCGGAACAGATAGCAGTGCTGCCAACCTTACCACTTTTGCTGTCTCAACCGCCGCCAGCGGCGCCGCTGCAGCCGTGGCGGCGGCGGCGACTCAGCCGCCGACGTCAACGAGACTGCCTGACATCGCCGTCGACTCTAGCGCCGCCGCGGCAGCCACGGCGGCGGAGAAGGCGAGGGCTGACGCAGAGACGGATCCCAACGGTGCGGCGGTGGCTGCCGTACTCCGTGACTTATTTCCCAAGTCCTTCCAGGGCCTTATCCCCGTCACGAATCACGACGCTGTCGACAAGCTGATCTACAGCTGGGACGCCAAGATGCTCGTCCTTGCATCTATCGTACGAGATCTCGAACAGCTGAAGGTACGACACCACCGCCGCCAACGGTCACGTGTCCCGGCAACGGACATAGAGGACGGCAAGGGAGCATTGGCCGCATCGGCGGCGGCGGCGGCGGCGGCGGCGGCGGGGGGGGTTAAGGACAGCAGCTCCCGCGTCGTTGGCGACGACGTGTTCGGAGGATCAGCCGCGGCAGCGGAGGGAAGGTTGCAACTCCGCGCCGCCGAGCTTCGGGAGGAGATCCGGGACCTAGAGTCACGGATTGCGTTCGAGCGGGAGCGAGCCTTGCACCGGCCTGCTGGCACGGCCTACTTCGCCATGTTTAACAACTCGCAGGTAGTTAGTTCGTTAGGTTGTTAGGTGGACAGTTAGGTAATCGGGTAGGTAGCTGCGCCAAAATGTCGTGATTATGGATGGAGCTGAAGGAGGAGATGAGCGAGCATGTGCGTGGCGGGCGTTTTTGAGATCTAAGCCACTGCTACGTTTGGGTCTTTCTTTTTAGGTGCGTGCGTGGATTGCAGGTGCACACCAAGCTTTTACGTGCTGAAGAGGCATCGATTCAAAGCCCGTGTGAGCCCGGCGTGTAGATGTCGTCCGACATAAAATATATGGATGCTGGAGGCAAAACCGTGGCGGATATTTGAGGTCTAAGCTAAGGGTTTGCTGTATGTGTGTGCTGTATGTATGTCGTATATGCGTGTTTGAGCTGGGGGGCTCATCCAGGTGGCGGCGGTTGCCGGAATGCCGGGGTGGAGCCGAAGTGCCTAGATTAAGTTGTTGTACAATTTACAGTGATGCCTGACGACGACCTGGCGGCCTGGAGATTGCCCGAAACTCGGGATGCTTACCCCTTGGTCCTCTGCCGCAAGGGAAAATCTTGCTTATGTAGTTTATTTATCTCTGCATTTCTGTGACTTAAAAATATTTATTAAATTACTAAAAATTACAAAATTTTAAAATATGGTATGGTTAATGATAGTCATTAATAATAAAATTGTACTAATTACAACTCTAAAACTGTCCACCTCAGGACGCCCAAATGTTGGCCCAATGCCGGCGTGTCGTACCTCCGCAAGGCCCAGGAAGTCTGCTGTCGTTTGATGCCGTACCAGCGCCCGCACCCGATGACGTCAGCTGGCCGGGGCTGTGGAGTACGGGACTAACGGAGCAGTTGGTGCGGCGGGCGGCCATCGTACTGCCCATGGCCGTAATCTTCGTACTGCCCATGGGCCCGTTGCAAGGTGGGTAGACATAATTGGGGGATTTAATTTGACTTGGTTTGGGGGCGATTATTGGGGGTTAGGGGTGGGGGTTGGCGCTGGGGTAGGAGGCCTTATGACTGTCACAAGAGTATAATGTGGCACTCGTACACTCAAGAAACCATTTTCCCCTTCCCCGGGTGTTAGCGCTCTTCCTTCCATATACCTTTTCTCTCCCCTTCCTTCCATTTCCATAACCCTTTCCCCCTTTCCCCCCTCCCCCCCTTGCCGTCGCAGGGGCCCTAGCCTCCCTGGGTGTTTCTCTGTGCGGCGGTCCTGAGACCTTCGAAGGTTTCGACACCAACAACAAGCTGTACGTCGACTGGTTCTGCGAACCCGAGGTGTGTACGACATTGTACGGCATTGTACAAATTGTCATATTCCTCCTCAGCCATCTCTTTCTAGAGCCGTATACACGTACAGGCCATGCCGTGTTCCATCCCAGCCCATTCACGTACATTCGTTTGCTGAGTAATACATGTATTATTTTCGTACAATGTCGTACAATGACTTGCAGAATTTCGGCATAAGGTTGTGGAAGTTGCTGCTCACGGGCGTGTTGCCGTCCGTGGTGGGGCTGCTGTGGACGGCAGTGTGTATGCCGCAACTGCTTTTCTTGTGTAGTAGCTTGACTCGGAGGTGAGTGGGGGGGAAGGGGGGCCGGGGAGAGGAGGCGGGGGGGGGGTTAGGAGTTCTCCTAAGGAAAAAGGGGGGAAGAGATATCATTATCGGGGATGTGCAAGACATACTACCGATGCCCAAAGCCGAGGGGAGGGGGATGCCTGTGAGGGGATACAGGGCACGATGGGAGGAAAGGAGATGGTTGTGGGGAAGTCTGCGGGTGTATTTGTATGTATGTATGTAGTATATGAACTGCCGATGTCGGCCTTCGGTAAGAGTTCGTCTTGTTTGCAACTTCCTCCTCTCCCCCCACCCACCCGCAGTGAGGTCTCACTCAGCGGACAGGAGCGGCAAATGCAGAGTAAGTACGGAGTTCCTTTTCTTTTTTCTCATTCAACCAATAACCACCAGTGCGCAACTCCGTCAACTGCTAACAACGACCTCAACAAAAACGGACCTTGCGGAGTTTCGGTAAAAAAATTGCCAATCACATTAGCCGGTTTCTTACTGCTGCCATGACATCGGCACTAAGTCTGCTGTTTAGTCAGGTTAACTGAATGGTGTTGTCCTGCAACTGTCGTGCAACCGCCAACGAATTAACCAGCCTATCAAGCAAACAATGCCATAGACGTACCAGAATGCGACGGCTGCAGCTCTTGAGACTCGAAAAGCGATTTCGTTACTCTTCCTCAGAACGTAACTCCCCTTGGGATCTTGGGCCCTGCTCTGCTCTGCGTCTTGCTACTGCTATTGCGATTGCTGTTGTTACTCCTACTGTTGATGGGGTGTTACACTGTGGGCGGCTCGCCCGATAAAGGACGAGCACCGGGGGCCCTGACCGGGCCGAAACACAGCGCAGGGATGGGCGCGCGGCTCTACGTCCGTCTGTTCCTCCGCGCGCGCCTCATTCCCTCACTCACGCCAACCGGGACACTCTCCCAGCCCCTGGCTAGGCAACACAGCGGCGCAGAAGACTGCGAACCGATCTATGCGAGAGCCGCACGAAAGGCGCCACTTCGCCTGGCCTGCCTATTCACGCGCTCTCGTCCCTCTTGACCGCCAAAACCAGAACAAAAAGAAAACACCACCGGGGGCAGGGGCTCTACTCGGGGGCCTCCTCTACACACACAAAAACCAGGGCCCCACGCAGCCAGCAAGGCAAGGGAGACACGGAGGACCACGGGCCTGAGACGACACACCGCAAAAGCCGAGACACGGTTGCACAGAAAAGACCAACACAAAGCGAGTACTCGCACACTGGTCCTCGAAGGCCAGCTGTTCAACTACCACGAGCAACGAACAACGAACACTTCCCGAGGGTGGCCACCACTTCCTCGCCGGTCCACTCACAAACGAGGCGAAACTGGTCCGCACGTCAGTCTCCTCCTGGGGGTTGCGGGCTCTTGGATGCAGCCCAGCGCGAGACACAGCANAAACACCTAAAGCCGCGGGGGGGATGACAAGCCAGCACGGCGCCCCCCCAATAAAGCCCCGAAAAAGGCACGGCTCACAGACGCCGCTGGCTCCCGCTTACCACACCGAAACCCCTCCCCTCCTGACCCTGACCGGCCGGAACCAGCAACACCTGTTCTCCACCTCCAAACCCCTCTCCTCCACCGCTTTCCCACCTCTCCACTCCCACAAGCCACNTACGTCTTCTCTACTCTGATGCCAGACAGCACAGAACCCATTCCCCTCACTCCGACGGGCCCCAATTCCCGGGGAGAGGGCAACCACACGAGTACACAAAACACACACAGCCCGGGACCTCAACTCCCCCTGCTAGACCACGCTCAGGGCACTGCCCTCTCGCCCAGCCCTCCAACTGCCCAGGGCCTCCCTGCTCTCCTCGCTCCCTCACCTATCCCTACTCCTGGCTCTCTCACCCCCTCCCTCACTCTCACTCTCCCTGCTCCCTTTCCGGTAAGACCTCGATCCGACTCTATCTCGGCTATTTAGGCCGTGATTTCCACCGGTGCTGCGCACCGCATCCGTTCCTCCACGACCGCCAGGATGGGGTGCTGCGGCCCGACCCTGTCCCAGCCGTGTCTGGGGGTCTCCAGCATTGCGAACGAGCGCAAACGCGCCCAGAAGTCTGCCACCGCCCGGGCGCGTGCGCGGGCCAGTGGCGAGGCTCCTGTTGCGCCCGCCGTTGCTGCTGCTGCCACCGCCTCGCCCCCTCCCGCCCCTGCTTCCTGCGTTGGCCCATCCTCCGCTGGGGCGTTTAGGGTGGGTCCTTCTTGCTGCATTGCACCTTCCGCCGGGGTGAAGAAATCTGTGATGGCCCGCTGGCTTGACCTCTGTTGCTGGGGCTGCCCCACCACCTGTCGCTGTCGCTGCTGCTGCTGCTGTCGCTGCTGCT